ATGGCCTAGAGGTCTAGACCATTGCTTAGCATTCGGGAGGACGCCGGTTCGATTCCGGATCCGTCTGCCTTGGTCCAAGTTTTTCTGTGATTTCCTTGGATCACTTAGGCAAATGCTGAGGCAGTAATATTCCACAAATAATCTTTCATTCTCTTCTGTCTTCATTTCGTCCGTCTCATCTTTTTCACCCGAACCACCACCCACCCATTACCACGATTCCTGAAAGGAGACTGAAGAGGGCCTTCTACCCTACCTTCCGGCGTAATATGGAGGGACTACCCGCCCACCAGCATTAGTGGCTGGTAGGAATGAAACACCCAAAAGTTTTTTTTTTCTGCTAAGAGAAACTGGCAGTGATAAGTTCGGTCATCATATACAGATTGAGCGTGTCTCAATCCCTTGCCCACAGGAGCTGAGTAAACGGCAAGGTAGACCATCTTATTATTATAATTCCATAAATATTTCAACATTCATTAATACCAATATTATTTCATCTACCTAATGGAAATATTTAAGAGATGCATGACTAAAAATTGCATAAAAACCGGATTGTTAACATCGATTAATACGGCGTGTCTATATCCATAAAGTGATATGATCAAATACTAATGTGAAATGTAGGAGGTATCTCGGATTCCGCTAAATATGCTATTGCCAATATTGGATGCTGTTGCTGCTCTTCGATAGTTAATTTATTGGAATACCCTGTATAGGAGTAACCACCACGTTCATCCTTTATATAGCAATTTATTTATGACATTTCTGATGTAATGACTAAGTGAATTATAACTTGTACTTTATGAAAGTTAATAATCGTTAATAATATATCTCATATCAATATCGATCTACGTTTTCATACCTTATTTACTTAAGTTACGTTAGCTCAAATAACCGGAAATATAAAGAGATAGTAATTATTTACTAATGCAGGTTCGTTTCTCAAAATGGTCAAGGTAACTGGATCGCTCAATATTTCTCGTAAATAAGAAAAGCATGCAGATAATATTGAACAGACAATAGTTGCACAACAAACTATAATGCTGTTAAACGATTTGATGGTTTCTTGCAATCGAATTTTAAAAATAGAGGCATAATTTCACATTCTGTTTAAAAATAAATCTTCAATGCGTTAGTGATTATTTTTAGGGAGTGTCGTATCTAGTTCAACGCAAAAACCATTACAGATGTTTGTAGCATTGATAAGATATACTAGATAAGACTTTAGCGAGTCATTCAAAAATTAAATACACGTAATAAAATAGTTCTCGTTGACTAAACATTTACAATGTGAAAATTGCTTAAAAATACAAAAACCTATTACTAAAACATGTAAAGGTAAATATTACAGTGATAACAGATTGTCTATCATTTTTTTCAAGTTGACTCGTTTTAGTGTATGTGAGTAGTTGGTGAATTTAAACGATGAATCGATCAATGCAGCTGATAGTACTTGGAACATTTTGGTGCTTCATCCATGGCGCCTATTGTATACCTTTTAATAATGAAATATCAGCAATTTCTGTTGTTGGAAGTTACCCAGGAAGTAACAGTTTTGTGATTAATTCAACGACAGTGTACATTGTTTCTTATAGTACATATGCGGTAAGGTTCGCAAAAAAAACATATTTTTCCTACAATATGTTCAAAATGAAACACTTTGTTATTAAATAGATGAAAATAACTAGACAAAAAAGAGTATACATATATAGCTTACATTTTTAATGAAAAGAATGAAAAATAGTACATTTATTTTGATGCTGAATGCAGACATAGAAAAGGAAATACCATCTATTAGAATACTGTTAATTTATAAGTTTTGCATTAAATATCTGTAAAAATGGCAGAAGTCATAAAATATATCAGTTTGATAAGCGCTTAAACCATCAATCTAAAAACTAAAAGGTATCAAAAGCATGCACGTAAACAGATATTATCTGAAACTCATTTTATTTTGAACTTTGTTTTATACATAAGTATCTGTAGAGAAACATTATTTAAGAAGTAGGTATTGTGATGGTGTATATATATGTATTTCCAAAAAGTATCTACGTATATCGGAACATGTAATTTGCAAATGTCTGCTCTCTTTTACTATAAATACTCAAGAATACTTATACATTATAAATGATGATCTTATAAACAAACATTAGTTTCTAAAGCAATAATTTCTGTCTCATAAAATTTAGACATTTAATATTTTCAAGAACTTTTCCGAAAATTTATCTATTGATTGATTATCCTCTCTGTAATTTTAAATTAAATAGTATCCGTGGTAGAAATAATTATAGAAATTATAATTTTCCAGAAAATTATGACCCTTATAAGTTGACCCTTAAACTTCTACTATGATCGAAAAAAGTGTTTGTCCCTAAAAATAAGCATTCCATTTCTACATATTACTGCAAAATAGTAAGCCAAACGATATGATTCTGGACTCGTTTTACTACAAATATATGTTTTGTTCCGAATTATAGACAATTAAAATGTGAGATCATCCCGTAATTAATAAAATTAATTGTGACCTAACGAAACATGCAAAAATCTTTGGAATACACTTATCAATAAACGGAAATACGTGCCACAATAACAATTGTTCGAAATATGCACCTATATTGATTTATGATTAATCATTACATCATTTTTTTATTTAATTTAAAATTACATACGTGTATGGTGTTACTAAAATGGTAATGTGATAACACAACTGCCTTTATTAGGTAGACCAAAAACTTACTTCTACTTGGATCCTACATGTTAAATACTTAATACCATAAAACACATCACTAAACTAGAAGACTAAGATATAGTCAACAAATCCCTTTCTATTCAAAAGTCAGAGGCGATCTATTCCTATTCATAAGGAAATCATGGAACTGATGCTGTCTTGATTAGGGTCCAAAGGTCGTTGTAAATGACATTGGACTGCCCACATCCAGCATCGAAGGTTTATTCCTGTTTCGTCGCCTTAATTAAAAATTCCTATTTCGTCGCCTGCCCTTTAAACCTATACATTGGTGTAATTAATAATTCTGTTTACCTGAATTAGTAATTAATAAAATCTAAACCTTTGTCTTTAACATTAGTAATTTCTTCACTGTATATTTGCAGTATGGGTGCATTCTCTTTCCTCGTCCTCTTTTTTGTTTTGTTGATACGTACCTCAACTTCATTTTTTGCAACGTACAGTTCACACTTATGGTCACTGCTTCTAAGTACAGTTGTTGTCTTTCCGTCGGTAGTACCTAATGCTTCCAGGGCACTTACGCGTAGAACACGTCCACTTTTCATTTTAGCTCTTTTGAACTGTATTTAGAGTAAACCTGTACCCCCGATACAAAATCACTGGATTTTCTCTTTTTGATTCCACAATCTCCATGGTTAATACCGGTGCACTTGAATTGAGCACAAAGATTTTCTTACCTGTATGTGTTTAAATAAATACCCGAATTGAGCAGAAGCCATGTTGCCAGCTTTCTTTTAAAATATCTGTAGGGATTTGAGTTCATTTTGGAGCAGTAGGTAGGTAAACTAGTAAATTTTCTAATGGAATGTAACAAAAAACAATATTTACTTTGAATGATTTTGTTTATTTGTTACAAGTACTTATAGGATTAATATTTCGTCTTAATTTTTTTTTCAACTTGGTTAACTGAATTTATTTTTATGTAAATGTCTGTTTGAATTTCAATCAGAACCTTTAAAAAGGAATGGATATTGGGATGTGAAGAGACGTTTTCCTTCTTAAATTTCGAATGGAATGCCTCGCAAGTGTTGGTTGTTCTAGAGACACTAGAAGACTGTTCGGCCCAAATTTTATTGAAGACATGTTATTTATTGTACAAGACAATGATAACTATAATTGCATAAGGGTAGTCCCTTGTTTTTATTAATTTCTTCCGCCCTTTACAAACTAGTTATATTCGGCAACATTACAACGTTAATGTTTATTTGCTACTCGTATGATCCCTGTGCTCAATCCCTTTCCTGGTATACAAACCCTCGATAATTACTTACTTACCTGCTTACGCTCTGTGCTCAATTCGAGTGTCACCGTTAATACATGCATAATAATCTACAGCAGGTAATTATATATAATACTTACTTATTAAAGCTACCTGTGGTGGGGTGGCACTTCTTAATCACCCCTTTCATTGGCCGAGTCGACAAAACAGGAAAGGTTAGAATCCAGGTAGAAATGATTTAGGTCTGATGCAACGAAACAGGAACAAAAACAGCTAAAATTGTACAGGCGACGAAACAGGAATTTACCGCATCGAAGATAGAAGGACCTTTGAAGAAGTTTGCCACTAGTGCTAGCGAAACGTTAGGAAGCAACTCCAACTTTCGACGACCTTTAGACCCGAATCAGAACAGCAACAGTTAGCCTACTAGCTACGAAAGCCCTTAACAAATTTAGCAAGTCACAGTCCGTTAAATAGTTTATAATTTCCTATAGGTAACCCAAAAGATAAAATTAATAGAATCCCAAAAGAAAACAGGAATTCACAGAATAAAATACAAAAATTGCGACAAAGACGTGCCAGTCACGGCACAGTCACGGTCAGATCTAGTAAATTCTATGAGAAAGTCTTTTTAATATTTACCAACAACATTTTAAATGTTACACAATTTCTCTTGACTTGACTTGAATGGGCATTGAGAGAAATACATCGAGACTGTGCCCTGACCTTGCTTTATAATGTGAATAATGTAAATATTTTACTTGACCGGACTGTGATCAGACCATGACCGAACCTACAGTATTAATCAGACTTTAAGGTGAGATTTAAAGAGAATTTAGCTCACATTAGATTTAATGGAGCAGAAAAGTCTAGCATAGCTTCCCACATTTTCGATAATAACGATGAAATAAATTACAGTTGTTTAAATTAATTAGAGGCGACGGTAACCCTTTCATATAATTTAGACGCATACAAAGGTACTGAAATAGGTTGGAGATGTTTAAATCAGAGCACGATAAGGGATAAATAATTTATTTATTATTGAACCAAGTCCGACGTTCATCATCATAAGGTCGTCCATCTTAAGACCGGTTGGACACGTACCTACACTCTTTTCTATCCTGAGTTAATCTTCGCATTTCCCTAAAACTAGAACAACCCACATCCTTAACTATCTGCGAACATAAATCTAATCTAGGTCTACGTCTACCCCTCCAAACTTCCGCTTTTATTCACTTCCATAGCTCCTCTGTTCTCTTATTCTTTCCAATACCTCTTCATTTCTGACCTTTTCTAGCCACGATATCCTCATCATTCGCCTGTAACACCACATTTCGAACGCTTCTAATCTTTTCTTTTCCGCCGCGTCTACCGTCCATGTTTCGCACCCGTTCAGCGCTGCACTCCAAACATACACATTTAACAACCTTTTTCGAATTTCTAAATTAACCGTTTGCGAACATACAAGTGACTTCTTTTTATAGAAGGCGACACGACCCTGCGCTATCCTCTGCTTTATATCCCTACTACTCCTTCCGTCCTGACTTATCTGACTTCCTAGATACCTAAAATCGGCAACTTTTTCTAATTTTTCGTCTCCTATTTTTATATTCGTTCTTTCCCTGCTTTTTCTTCCCTTGCATACCAGTATTTTTGTTTTACTTTTATTTATTTCCATACAAGTACGACGTTAGGCGTTAATATTGTACATCACCCAAACACATCCTTGAGAAAGCCTATAACCTAGGCGAAATGTCGGCCTTGGTTTAATAATAAATAAATTACGATATATATTCCTTATCCTGCACTGATTTAAACATTTTCAACAGATTAAGAAAAGATTTGGATATCAGTACTGAAATAGGTATACAAAAATGGCAATATCATAAACTCGGACAATGGTCTATATGGAAATGTTGAAATTAAAGTTTATGAACAGTATATTGCCATCTATTGATATTTGCTCCATACTGCAAAAAGTATTTCAAAACGTTTGACAAGGGCATTGCTTATAGTATATAATAGACACTTAAAGACTTAAACCATATTGGGGTAAAAAAGGGTTAACAGATTGATTTAGGATTGTTTGAAATTTATCAATTACAATTTTTCTGTATTAGAATCCTTAGATTTTAGTTAGAGGATCATCCCTTAATAAAAAAAGGTCTTGGCAATGCTATATGTTACGTTGATTAGGAGTAAAATTGTTAATTAGATGTACATCATATCATTTCAGTCGATTTATCCAACACGTCTAACGTCCATCACTACAGGAGCAAGAATGGCATTCCCCATTAGAGTTGTCGTTCGTCAACAAAAAGGTGTATCTTCATGGCAGTTGCCTTTACGTGTCAATTCGAAGCTGGGACCATTATCCTTTTATACAACATCAAGAACTCTATGCCACACTCACATGGATATAATTGCAAACCTAAACAGAAGCTCAAGTTAGTTTCCTTAAATATTAATAAAATTCAACTGTTGTTTAGTCAGAAGTTTAGCGAAGGCAAGGGATATGGATCGAGATTTCAAACTCTTTTTGTTTGCTTCCAATAAACAATTAACCAAATTAAGCAACTTTAAATTGCATTAATAGGAAGAAAGTATTACGTTGCCATCCATCATGGACGTTAACGTAAAGGAGAACGATCGCTGTTTAAAAAGAGTCCAAGAAGGATTCCATGTAATAAAATAACCCTTATATTCTGTTCTCAACTCGCCACTAGTACATATACTGAGTGACTACATTCTTCCTTCACATTCCTTTTCCATTTGTTCCTTTTTGGTTTATAATTTTTAAAGAAATTATTTTCATTATGGGCTATATATATATATACGTGCGCCGAATTTGTTTGTAATTCAATAAACAGTATTTCTGAACCTGAAACTATGAAAGGCTAATCTGTCATCTACGATATTGTCAGTTTTCGGAATCCTGATGGTCCTGCCAGTTTCACGCTATTTCATCAGATGATCCAATCTGAAACAGAAGAATTTAGTAAACTTTTGATACAACCAAAGCATAAGAAAGGACGATTTCGATTCATAATTTTTTAATATGCTGTTTTATTATAAAATTATTAATCACAAAGGCTTCAGTAACCAGTTTTTCAGATAGTAATCACGTCGATTTTTCTTGTAACATTTCATCTTTGATGCTGCCCTCTGAAATAAAAAATTAAACATCGACAAGCAATCATAAATTACTGTAGTGTTGTTGGTAGAATTTTATTTACAACTAAATAATTGTTTATTACTACTCATACATCTAACAAGTTCATTACTTATCTATATACGGCGCGGCAGATTTAATACTTTCCACCTGGACAATATTCAACGGCAATTTGTTTTTCGGAAATCCCCGAAGCTGATCGATTTTTCTTTCAAGCGGTACATCCAATGGCGGATTATCCATAAGGCAAACTAGGCACATGCCTAGGGTGCAAGGTTAGAAAGGGGCGCGCGCGGAAGTTTTTAAACTAAAAAGAAAAAAATAAGAAAGTGCCTGCTTCCAAAAATTATTTTGCAAAATATATGACCGCCAGAGGGGCGTCTACGAGGTGCTAGCCTAGGGCGCTCTCGACATTTAATCCGCCTCTTTTGATTGTACATTTATGGATGTAAGGTCATTTGCCTAAAGGGGGTGACAACCCCTTCAAGATGCGAGAGTCAAGTGACACTCATCATTTTAAAGGCATTTCAATTCGCTTTTCAAACATGCTGGCATTTCTTTGGACTGCACTATAATTAAATGTGAAAATCCTATTAGAATAAATCAAAAAAAGGACTTAAAATAGACAATAAACTTGTCGGTTATAATTTTTAATTGTTAACGCATTATTAGTATTGTCAGACATTGTTCTGTTTTATTTTTAGAATTATCTAGAAAGGGTTTGCTGTTATTTTATTGTTGACTAATTTTGAAGCAACTGTCCAAATTATCATGCTTTATATCGAAGTAGGTATAGGCAGTATATCAGAGAAAATCGGAATTGTTACCCTCTGTTTTAAGAACAAGAAAGTGACCTGATGCACTTCAAGAACTTTTGATCGAAGGTATCCTGATATTAAGAATTTGATATGTAAATTCATTCACTTGATCCCCCGTGTCATTTAAAATTTTTGAAGGGACTACCATCCAAGAATTTGCAATGAATAGGTGGCATTTTAAAGGCAAGATCAACTTGCTTCGGGAATTTCCAAAAGAAATTGCGATTAAAAATTTTCTAGGTGGAAATTTCTAATTGTATTTTATATTAATTATTATTTANTTTAGCCGATATTAGTTAAATACTTTCTTCCAGGAATATTTAGTTCTTTTAATGTTACCATAATCAAAATAACACAATCTGGACTGCTTGAATATGCAACATTTAAATATCAAGAATTCGGTGTTGTTTGTTTATAAGTGTTTTTATGTTTTTAGTTGATTTTTTGTCCCAACTAAACCATACAAGATTGCTTCAAGAGTTCAGTATTTCGGTATCCACATCATCACTTCGCCCATTAGATATTGAAATCGCAACACAAGAAGCAAAAGACTTTTACATTAAAGAAAACCAAGAATATACTGTCGTAACATCTCCCAGTGAACCTATTTATTATTATTATAAATTTTTTCTTGTGCGAGACATTTAGAACAATTACCTTAACTCCTCATACGTAAAAAATCTTAACTAGAATAGAATAATAAGGATATCGTGAATAGATAAGGTTAGAAATTAAGATGTATTAGAAAGAATAGAAGAACGGAATACTCTATGGAAGATAACAAGAAATAGTCGAGATAGGTTGGTGGACACCTTCTCAAGCATGAAGGGTCAGTTAGAGACATAGAAGTAGAAGGAGGAGTTAAGAAAAGTAGAGGAAGACCTAGATACTATTCACAAATAATTAAGGATGTGGGATGTTCTAATTTCAGAGAAATGCGAAGATTAGCTCTGGATAGGAAAAAGTGGAGATGCATATCCAACCAGTCTTAGGACTGACGACTTTATAATGATGAAACTGAAATTTAAAATAAATATCTATAAAAAGTAAATATTGAGTGAAGACGCTTTACACCTCGCTAGTCAGGCCTGGGCTATATCTTCCACCAAATCCGTCCAGCACAAATTCCTGAGACTATTTATGTACAAAAACCACCTTTCTATGTCTCCTTTAGATCACGACTACTCTGTTGCACTAATTCTCTCGAATCTTGATACTCTTCAAAAACGTCGTCAAGTTAATGATCTGTTATTTTTACATTCGATACTCAATAGCCGAACGCTCTGTATTGATTTATATAACTTGTTTGATTTTAATGTACCATCTCAAG